AAAAAATTTACATGTAAAATAATTGATTGAACTAATTTAAAATAATAGCCAATGGACATGTCTACACTACTATTATTGTATTAATAATTTTTCCGATATTAAAATTACTAAATTTCTGTATTATTACTATGGAAAAGTATTCGAAGCCTTTCCAAAATTGCACATTAAAAAATTCATAACTCTTACACTTTCGACATAAAGCCTAGTTCATTGTCTAAGTGTCATAATGCATTTAGATTTTATAAAAAAAATAATAATCTCTTATATTTTGTTTGTGTTTCTTTGTTTTAAATGACCATGAAGAGCAATGACCGGTCTTTTTACGTATAAAATGTAAACCACTAGCTTTTTTTAGTTGACCCCGTAGCTTTAACCCATCGCGTCATCGTGTGATAATGTAACGTATGTATTTACCTTATAGAAGGCCAATAACCCTTTTATATTTTAAATGTGAATAAACATATTGAATAGTAATAATCATTTTATGATATCACGTGTAATCAGTCGACGAAAAACAGCGAGAATCACAAAGTAGAAAATGTTTTAAATAACCATCAACAATCTAATTTGGATCGCAGCTCTCATTAAATTTCAAGTCTGTTTACCTAGTTTTCTTTAAAATTCTCGCTGGGTACTTGAATAACTATAACATATTTTTAATTGATACAAGATTCATATTTTTCAATATTCAAAAGTACCTACACCCAGAGAAAAACCTCGATCTATATAATAAATTCATTGTTCAATTTGATAAATATATCATTACTATTGAATCAATGATATATTTATCAATATGATATTTTTTTTTCTTGTCTTGAACAATAATTATTTATAAGAATAGTTATTTTGTTCGTATTAATAAAACATTATCATAAACCCTTGATAAAATTTCTCTTTCAATTTTGATTGAGGTTTTTCTTTGGGTGTATATTTCACCCTTGTGTATTTTGATTAGTTTTTAAATACACGTTAAAGAATAAATGCATTTAGTTGTTAACAAAGTGTGCGCGTCATATTATTTTGTTTCAAAGCAACTTTCTCTGAGAATATTTGAGTAGGGGTGCAAATTATTGGAATATCTAGTTCATTTGTGGCAATAATAATAAAAAAGAAAAACTGTACGGAATAAAAAGTTAGGTCTCACAAAAGTCGTGTCAATAAGTATTCAGGATGATGTTATAACTCTTGAAGTTGAGTTATCTATAACATCCTGGTTATTTTTCTTAAACGCGAGTAGTGTGTCACTCACTGTGTACTTGGAAAAGAAGATATCGCAAAAAAAAAAACCCAGCGAGGTACTTGCAATAGCCAACAACAACAACAATAACATCAGTGGCGTATCAGCAGCGCGTTAAACTTTTAGTTTTTCGGGTCAAGATCACGAGTCGCCAGGATTTAACTATCAAACGTGTGAGCAATTGAGGTGCGAGGGGAATTCCCCCAAAGCCTTGACCATTGCGTAACCGGATTTCGACGGCACTATTGCCATTACCGTCGGTGTTCCTCTTGCACTGCGGTTCGTTCGCATAACACACTTATAACTCGTGTACCGCAACTGTGCGTTTGACATAATCCGCTCTTTGACTGTGCTCTACGCGCCGCTATCCGTTCGTTGTGCTCGAATTATAACAACAAATACTGGCGGGCACCGGTGCTCTGTCTGTCGGATGAAAAATTAAATTAACACAACAAGTAAGTACCTTATGAGTTCAGATAAAAAAACGAAAATAGCACAATGTCTTTCGTATGTTTTACACGAGTACCACTCTGCGCACCGACAAGAGCGTGTGCCAATCTGTGTAAAACATTACGCGCAATAAAATGTAATGTACCAACGTACGCCAATGTATTTTGTATTACATAATTGTAACTTATCTGATTCTACTGGACCGCGTCGTCACCCAAATAGAAAACCGGGTATCGAGTAAAAGCATTTTTTTGAAATTTATTTTTTAGCGTTGCGAAAATAATTTATACTTAGTGGCAATTATGATGAATGCTGCGATTGTTTGATTCTGAGTTAATGACATTTTCGCAATTTTTCTATTTGTTTTGTACGGTGCAATAAATGATTGGAAAAATAATTTGGCGTCGGTCGAGTAATAATTCTTATAATTTTGACAATAATGATTTGTCCTCCGAGTAAACAGTAAAATGTCATTAGCGGTGTATGTTTTTTCTATTCAAAATTAAATGTACCGAGTGAACAATAGCTAGATGACGTGTAAGTCAATGCATAAAAAACACAATACGCTGTACGTCGAGGTTAACCGTTGCAGACATAAGATCAAAAATAATTTTACTTCTTTTACGATCAACACATTTTTTTCAATTATTACCTATCAGCGACTATTTCATGGTTATTTGGTTGTAAACGGCGTAATTTCTTGCAAAATAAGTAACATTTTATCAGAATGAATTCAAAGGAAAAACATAAATTATTTATGACTCATAAAACACCACTGAAACGACACCCCCCAAATACTCTGCCAAAACTTAGAGAAATTTCACTAAAACTACTGCCTAAATTATTAGCTTCGATGCGAAGCTGAGAAGGTATTAATTTTACCATGATGTGTTTATTATTTTATTTTTTTTTTTATTATGTTTAATTCTGCAAAAAATATCAGATGACTATTGCATCGGTTTTAGTGTTTGTTTTAGAGTCCATGTGTTCCATCGTCGATTATGATAAACACTATCCTAAGCTACTTATGAATTAGGTAATGGTAGAATGTTGAAGCAGATACCTAATAAATATGTAAAACAGTACTTTTCTTCTAATGGTGTTAAGTCAGTGAACAAATTTTATGGTAATTTTTTAGTATTATAATAGTGTTTCACGGTCGATGAACGTCAAGATAAATAAGATAAACTCCATAAAATACGGTCACTAAGTTACCAAGATGACCGCGAACGTTACCGTCGATTGGAGCGATCGCTTGAACCGGTTTTTTTGACTTATTATTTATAATTATTGATTACCGGCTATTACTATCGGTAAAAGTAAAGTATATTTATTGTATAGAGTCCACTAAATGCCAACGGTCGTGATTTACGAAAAGCAAAGGTCACAACAAGCACGTCGTTTACTTTAGACAATAGGAATTGAACTTTTCTCATACGTTAGGCAGCTAAATGAGTTCCACGCTGTTTCGATGTGGTAAACACAATTTATACCATTTTTTTCGAACAAAGAAGTTCTCGTGTTTATTATTTTATTTCGTAGTATTAAAATAAACGGTCGACATGCATATTTGTTTTAAATTATGGCGTTTTTGAGAACCCCAATAAAGGTTAGAGCGGTATAATTTGTGTAGTATTATTAAAAGGAAAGCGTAATTATTTCATTGATATCAATATCACGCAAATGCATGCACGAGATTTTTATTCAATTCAATTTTACGTGATCCTAATAATATACCAGTATACAAAATAACATTACATACAATGTCAGAGTGATATTTTTTCTCACAGGACATTGGCTCATTGATATAAGTACTGGAAGTATGTGCTTTTATAATAATACCTTGAATTAAAATATCATTAACTATAGAGTGTTATAATTAAAAGTTGATTTTTGATGTAAAAATCAGATTGATGTCGCATTTTGATCAATACGAAAAGAATATTGAAATTAGAAAGCAACGTGAAGTCACCTGCTGTACGTCGCCAGTCATTTACCATTTGTTAATCGTCATCAGTTATATAATTTGATGTTTTTGGTATTTTCATAGCGTCGTAGGGCGTGCAATGAACGTGAATAGAATTCTACGGATTATTGATTATATCCATTGTAGTGGACTAAAAATCGGCATGAAAATATCGTAACTTTTAAAATAGAATTCAAACAGCTATAAATGCTGTAGTTTTAAGAAAATCGCACGATAACAGTGTAAGTGAAATGCTCTTTTAAGTAGCAAAAATATTCATTGTACATAATTTTCAAGTTAAGGTTATTGGAGAAAATCGAAAGTCGTTAAAATGTTGACCCGTAGTCTTCCATAACTTTCTTGAGAAAATAAAATGATTTTTTAGCTTCACGCGGAATATCTAAAACCTTACCTAAGTGTAACCGAATAATATTTAAAATCGCGTATCTAGCTTAACAGAAATTGATTTTTAAAAAGTTTACTGTTCACGCCTTTTGTATGCCGAACACACGACACGCCCACAAGGACTGGGATGCAGTTCACGGTCCGTTGACATTACAGGAATTACACACGCAACGTNCTAAAAAGTTTACTGTTCACGCCTTGGTATGCCGAACACACGACACGCCCACAAGGACTGGGATGCAGTTCACGGTCCGTTGACATTACAGGAATTACACACGCAACGTATCATCGATCCACTGGATTGTCAGGGGTCACCGACAAATCCGTTAATTATTATGTAGTCACGAGCCGTACGGACATTATTTAAAAAACAATCGAAGAATTTGCGCACGAAAAAAAATGCAAGCCAAATTGTTTTTCAAACTCGTGTTTCGAAAACAACTAATTAAAATAAACGGAAAAGTCGTTAGCGATCGACAATCGCTGATTACAGTCTATTCATTTAGAACGATATGATATAACAACTTATGAATAATAGCAAAACTTTTGTTAGGTGTGTAGGGCCGCGCGGTGGGCGAGTGTTATGTAAAGGAGATTCGCGTTAGTCAACGGCGCGCAGAGTGAAGATCCTGCTAATTGTGACACTCGAACAATGCCGACACATCTCGTAAAATAACGTGATGAACGCGTTGAGCTGCCGTTGTCTTCGAATCGTCTCGTCAATTATTTACAACGTTTCGTAGCGCACTTGACCTTAAACTCGACTACTTGCGATTTTGTTTGTTCTTGCAAACCGTTTGTTTCCTCGTTCATATTGTTCGGTGATTACTCGTCGTGCTCAGTCATTGTCTATTGTCTGACGCGTCCCCTTGTTTTATGGTTCCTCCGCTTAACCATAAACCTCGACGGACGACACCGCGCGGACACGGGAGAAGATGCGCGCGCCCAGTTGTGTTGTCGGTTTGACCTCGTCACACGTCACATGATGCGGCGCCCCGAGATGTGTTCGTCGTCCGGACAATTAAAAAACAAAACGTAATAATAATAATAAAAATCACAATACAAAAAGGTACGTTTTTAAGCGGCTCGGGTGTCTGAGGCATACGAACAAAATTACCCCTCGCCGTACGATTCGCCGTGGAATAATAATGTAAAATTACAATACAATGACGACATCACAGGGAATGAATAATAAATATTATAATAATAAAAAAAAAAGAGTGCGTGGTTCACACGAGTATACCTCAAATGCGTGTATCAATGGGCGGGAGGGAAATATATAACCAGACACAGAATTGACAGACACAGACCATAACAGTCATCGTTGTCATTGCTCGTCGAACGGAACGAAAGTGAAAATTCAGTTTCCATTTCATTTTATAATTCGCCGACTGCGACGTGTGTGTCAAGATTGCAGTAAATTACGATTTTTACATATTTACCACGTACACGACCAGTTTTACACGGACCACCGCCGCCGTATCAGAAGTAGTCTTGCGGCTGATAACAAACGCCGTGGCTCGTGAGTATAAGTAATACTTCAACATCACATTTTACACGCCCAAGTGCGCCGATTTTTTCCCGTCGTTCGCATTGACTTTCCGCGGATTACATAAATTTCAACGGACCAAGTGGATTTTCGGGTTTATCTATGAAAACATCGTTTTCTGTAGACAAATCTCGTTTGAATAAACGTTTTGAAACTTTATACGTCGGCACTTTTTTGTAATACATTCGGCCAAAATTAATTATACATACTGTCGTTAAGTATTACGGACGTGTATGTACGCAACCGACCATCGCGTTATTTAATATTATACGCGCTTGTCATGTACCATTCAGTGTCAGTGTTAACAATAAAAAATAAAATACTTTTATTACACGTTTTCTGTAACCTGAAAAATGTATTATTTTTTTTTTCTGATAAAGATTTTAGATTTTTCAATTGAAATTACCGTGTTTTATGGTTTAATCGAATTATAAGAATGTATTATTTTTGTTTTGATCAACTTGACGTACAGTTTAAAACACCCGAAAGTTCAGGAATAATGTGTGTTTTATGTAGGCGTTGAGTACAAATTATTGCTGTAGAAGTCACTCTATTACCATTAGGTTTAGATTATAGAAAACATTAATGTACATAAAACGTCTTTTACGCAATGTCGAATAAAACAATTGTACTTAATGAATTTGACAAATATGTGTAATAATGTTTATTCCGTATAACATTGTCAATAAAATATTGCCGGTAACTCTGCTTGCATGTCCATGTTTAGTTTTTTATTGTGCTTGTCCGTACTTGTAATAACATCAAATTGTTATTTCCGCATTAAAGTGAATAGGTCATTATGTAATAAGACTTGTTTTGTTTTAGACAGGCGATGCTGAAGTTGTTCTCTTTGGCGTGTCTGGCGGCCGTGGCCTCAGCCGCGGTTCTGCCGCCGCCTTGGGCTAATCCGTCCCAAAACCCGTGTGCCCTCGAGCCGTCCGGCGGATGGCAGCTACTGTATTGGCCGGAGGACAAAAAATGTTACCGAATATTTCAGCGCGGTTACCCGTGTCCAGAAACCATGGAACTTGTTCCGCGACCCGACCGTAAGGGGTCAGCCGAGTGCGCGTGCCCGCCAGGCAGTGCACGGAGCGCCAGAGATTCTCGGTGCCATCAGCTCTTTCAGTTGAGCGACACGGTTTGTGAAGACGGCCAATACTTTGCACCCGGCCCAGAAAGGTACGTATCGTTATTGGAGCGAAGAACATAAGTTGTTATTTAATTTGTGATCTGAAGCTAAATGAAAGTTTTTCTTTTCAGAGAGGACCGAGAACGTTGGGGAACTTGCGAAGACCCCACTCCCTGTCCGGAACAAGATCAGTTGTTTTGGCCTAAAGACAAACGTTGCTATCGAAAGTTCACCAAAGGACCGTGTACGGACGGACAGCTTTTGATCGCCAGCACTTATAACGACGCTATAGGCGAATGCGCGTGTGAAAACGTTCCTGAACTTAAATCTTATTACTGGGCTCCTGCAGGTACATATCACAATATCAATCCAAATTTTTTATGTAATTTCATCGGTATTTGTTTGCTATCTAGTGATTTACTGTTTAAGTTAGCTACGAAAAATATTTATGTTAAACGCTAATTGTTTTTATTATCGATCGCAATTTATTGTTTGTTGTAATTTTCCCACAATCATTAATGCAAAACATATTATTTATGCTCTTCGAGGATATTGTTACTGCAACACGCGCAAGGTCGTTTTTTATTTGCCTGTAACTACAACAATACTTAAATTGATGTTCGTTTAATATTTTCTATACAATGGATAATATTTACAAAGGCATGACATGTTGTACAGACCATAGCGTTATAATGGTTGAATCGTTTTAAAACGTTTAGAAAAACATGACCCAGTTGTAAAAGCCGATGTAGTGATTTGTTTTGCGCTCTATTGCGTCGATAGTACAATTTAACGTTTTTTAATTAGAATTTCTTCAACCTTCATTACTACACTAAGTTCATTTCTTTAAAAAGAAACGTAATATTCATATAAGATACTCTTTTTTGTCGAGAACAAATCATTTCAGCTCAGTCAGAAAATGTTCGAGGTCTCGTTGGGAAACAACAAGGTGTAAATCGCGTCTCGGTAGAGAAATTCGTATTAAAAACATTTTCAATCGATGCTCTCTTATTGATAAAGACAGTTTTTAATTATTTTTTTTTTTACTACACCAAAATGTTTTTTTATATTTCTCCATCTTAAATTAATTTTCATAAAATATCAACTGATATATTTCAATGATTTTAGGGACTTGCCATGAACCCTATACGACTGGACCTTGTCAAGAACGCGGTGGCATATTCTTGCCGGGCGGACAATGCGGTTGTGATCCGTCTTTGCCACATTTTCATAACGGCACGGGAAAATGCTATCAGCTAGGTGGTATAGGCCCTTGTCCAGCAGGACACCAGTTCCTACTGGCCGACGGCGGAAGTAAAGCTGAATGTGCTTGCAAGGAAGGCTACGTCAAATGGTTTGGTGACGGAGCTTGTTACAGACCTTACACTCGGGGCCCTTGCGCTGCCGGCAATATGTACAGCGTAAACACAACGGCCACCGGCATGGCCATAGGTTGCGTGGATGTGCCGTGCTCTGCGGGAAAACTGTACTTCCCTGGTGGCAAAGGTTGTCACCGAGTGGGCACGCAAGGACCTTGTCCTAGTGGTCAGATCGTTCTGTTTCAGGACTCCGTGAAGACGTCTATCGAGGGTATATCGTATTTGGGTATGTGTGGCTGTGCCAACAGTCCCGACTCGTCGTCTTCTTATTACTCGACGTCGTACGTGGGCGGTGAAAAGGCACTTACGTGTAAGGCAGCGCCTACTTCGTCGGCTAGACGGTTGGATAACAGTGGAAACAGCAGAAGGGCAGAAGCGCAGCAAGATCCGTGTGGACATCGGAGGGGCACGATAGCTTGGTCTGATTTAACGTGTAAACAGCTGTATATGCAAGGCCCGTGCGAACCGGGCGAATGGGTGGTACCGGACAGAGGCAAAGGCACCCGTAAAGGCAGAGGCTGGAAAATGGGTAAATGCGAGTGCAGACCCGGATATACGGCGGCTGCGACAGCGGAAGGCCGGACAGTGTGTCAGGCACCCACCGTATCGTTGGCTAGGTTCTTGAACACTAACGTTACGCCAACCGCCGAAGGACAAAGGGACCCCCCTCTTGTAGACGATACCCAAGAACGAGAAACTACCGGAGTTCAGTGATAATCTAAAATACTCCAAGTGCTGTACATAATCAATACAAATTTATATATTTGGTTAAGAACGTTTGAAAGACTGCAAGAGAATAGTGATAAACATATAGACAAATTTCTATTCGAATTTCGGATCTTCAAGATTAAACACCGTACGTTTAATGTCATTGGTTCAAAAATGTATATTAGATTAATGTATATAGTAATAAGTCGGAAGTGAAATGAACATAGAAAACGACGATATTATAGATATTCAAAACTTCTTTAATGCTATTAGTTGTATCGAGTTTGGCGTATTGAGTAAAACGTCAAGAATTTCAATTGAATGATACCATAGAATAATATGGAAATATTAGTCGAGTTCAATGTAGGAATCTGTATCGTGAAGTACTTATACTCGTTCGCTTTGTGTCCTAAATAAATTACCAAGTACTTTATAACCTATGAATATTATATGATTTATTGTGTATTGATAGTTTCTATTTACCAAAATATCAATAAAAAATTTAACGTTGATGTTAAACTAATGGCAGTGTTATAACACTGTTACTATTAAAAAACTTTTACAAGTCTGTATTATTAAAACTCGTTTGTAAATAATTAGTATTCGAATAGATTTAACTCATAATATATATTCAAACTAACAGTTGGGGGGGGGGGGTTACTTGGAGTATATGATTGAAGAACCATACTCGTAGAAACAAAAATACAAGTCAATCGATAAGTTNGGGGGGGGGGGGATACTTGGAGTATATGATTGAAGAACCATACTCGTAGAAACAAAAATACAAGTCAATCGATAAGTTTTAATTTATTTTTGTTTTTAATTATTTAGTATCACACAGTCATGATTAATTTAATTAGATTTTAGTAATATTACAATAATATTTTAATTATAATATTTTTTAAATTCATTTATTGTAAAAAATAAAAATAACTCAAACTTTTTCAGTTTTGTATTTAAATAATCTGGTAAAATAGGTGAATACAACTTGTTGAATTAATAGTTATTGTAATTTGTAATAACGCCGCCGTAGCACCCGCCGAGATGCGGTAACTTGTGTAATAACCATAAGCGACACATAATAAGACAAAACAAAATGCTGCTGCTATGATTAATGTCTACCGTTTATAATAGGTCATTGTTTAAGTAAAGAACATTTATGTTGCTGAAAAATTATATCGAATAATTCATTATGTTTGTTAAAGTCCGTGACTGTAAAGAATGGAGTGTAAATGTATTAACATGTGCATTTACGACGGCTGTGATAAACTGCCTCTAAATGAAAGTACCCGTTTGCTTTGTAACCTTGCTCGGTGAAAACAACAAGTAATAATATGATAATAGGGATGCTATATGTACCAAAGCAGAGGTAGACAATAGAGTAAAAACTGCAACACAGTTTGATAGCGATTATAATTTACAGGTATATTGAAATAATTGCAGATCAAACGTATGCGTTGTAAAGGACCATCAGAGTTGAATAAACGGAAGTAACTTAAATGAAAAGACAACGTGTCGCACAAAAGATTTTCTATTTCGAATGACAGCAATAAAAATAATTTAATGTTTAAAAAAAGTTGTAATGATTTATCATATTTCAAGAGTGGGAGTGAAAGTTAGTTTATTTTTCTTAGAAAGTTTTGGCCCTTTAAAATCATTTTTTTGACACAAGAGACTAATAGTGCCTATTAACTAATAAATGTCCGTAGAAATAATTTGACGCATCCAAAATCCACGAAAAAATACCAATAGTACTTGTAACTTGTATTTTTTAAGAAGGGGATATTAAATAAACTATAGTTCTATTTGCGTTAATGAGACTCATCCCTTTTTCACGTTAATAAACTTTAGTCATTAGTAATACTTACCAATGAAAAAAATTAACTGAAATTTTAATGAGACTTTAAGTGACTAGTGCTTATAGTTGGGTGTCGAGATACTTTTGCAAATTATTATAACACATTTTAAACGGCGATTATGGGACATGATTGTATAGAAACTTTGACTTTCCAATATTACTTGTATGTGTTTTTATTTAAAAAAATAATCTGATAGCCTACGAACACCGATTTGTATGTCCATTACGTGTATACGTTGGATGAACCGCGAAAAATATGTGTAAGCTTTCACTCGATGAACACACACAATGTCTATATATGTACAATGCCATGGTAATAATAATAATAATAATATGTGCTTATCACAAAGTCGTCTCCTTGCCCTTTTGTACGCACAACGCAATTCACTTCCGTTACAATGTGAGACACTGTACTATACATACAGGTGGGAATATACCAAAATTTTAGGGGGGACTAGAATTACACATAGAAGCCGCTCGCAAATACATTTTACCTTTCATGGTACCTGTCGAATTTAAATATTATTAAAAAAACGTGGCTGTGTATGCAGACCTTGATAATAAATGTGATTCAAGCATAGACTATTCTACAAAGTACACAATAATAACTTTAAGTTATAGTTTCTCATCAGATGTCAATCTGTAGATTCTGATGCATGTAACTAGTTCGCGTAGTGCATAGGCGAATGGCCAACAATTATATAATTTGGTCACAGATTAAATGAAATTAATTTCATTTGATTAACTTAATTTTCATTTAATCTGTGGTTTAGTGACAACGTGAATAACAAGACGATAAAGACGCTGATGGGCAGCGACCGCAATTAACGATAAAAATCGCATAATACAAATTTTAAGTTTGACCCGGATTTTTATGCAAATGTATTTTCTTAAATAATTTATTTAAAAATAATTTTGATTAAAAATGTTTGCGTTAGTAATGGGCAGATTATATATATATATTATATTATTGCATAAAAATTCTTAGGGATGATAAATTATTTTAAATTTTGGAAAATATAAACTGTTTACTTATGTTTTAAACAAGTTTTATTTTTTAAAATATGTTTTTTAACAACCTTACCTCCGCACCATGGATATAAAATCATGCGAAGGGTAAAGCTCAGCATTACGCTACATTAAAAAAGCTATCTGGTTCCTCCATACTATATAAGTTTCTATATAGTCCTTCGAGTATTACTTAATTTTAAAGGACTATTGAAAATAGGTGATATTGCATCTTGCTAATTATGGTTTGGAAGGGGTTATAACACGTACTGGTTGAGCTACTAGCTTATCATAAAGTATTAAATACATGTACACATCTTTAAGCTTTTATAATTTTAACTAAGATAGTAATTTGTTATTTAAAGTTAAATTAATCTGTTTTTTTATAAAAATTTTATAAGACTTATAAGATTTTGGTCACTTGTAGAATTTGGTTTTCGACAGAAAAATTCTATTGATGTTTGAAATTTGATTTCGAAGTTAAACCTAGATAATTAAATTATATACAAATATTTAATTAAAAAAAAATACAAAAGTATTTTTAGTTAAATTTCAACAACCAAGTTATCATCATTAATGCTTAACAAATAATAATTTAAACGACTCTTAAGAATACGCTAAAAAAGGAGTTGTAGTGAGAGATTAGTTAAGATGATTTTAATTAAAAATGTAACTATATTTCTTGACACATTCAATTTAAAAAAATTAAATTATATCTTAGAATCTTGAAAATTATTGACTGCACATAACTCTATACCCCTGATTTCAATAAAATAGTTTTTCATAATATATGACTGCATTATTATTTGCCTATGCAATAAGCCTTCAGTACTGAAAAATGAAGTGCAAAAGTTTTTGTTTTACTAATTATATTCTATAAGATTGTCAACTATATATATATATATATACATATTTTAACGACAACATACAAATTTAACTAGCTTATAATATCACCAAATTTAGAAAATACCTGATTTAACTTTTGGACCAATATTTTGTAAGTAACATTACCATTTTTGAATATATACAAATAAGGTATGGAACGGGTCATGACTATTTTTAAGTTATTAACATTTTTATACCTGGGCGCAAAGAGGCCAAGAAATATATGAAAATTATTAAATTATTTAAAATTAAATTTAGAGATAATTAAATAGAGAAAATGGTAAATATTAAGTTCATAAGAAATAAACAATGTTTAGTAAGAAAACGGATATATATTGTTTCCATTGTTTGTAACATTTGACCTGTTTTCTTATTTTTTGTACACTCTGTATATTTTTTAAATTGCAAATATTAATTAATTTCAAGTAACAATAATTTTATGCTTCATATATTTTATTGAATTCTGGCCTCAATTCTTTACAATAATTTTCAAAGAGATTTATTTAGTTAAATAAAAGTTTAAAAATTTAACATAGTATTAATTATATTAATATATAACAAGAGATATTTCATAAGAAAATATCACCAAATGTGTAAAATTAAATTTAATTACATATTAACTATTGTATGAACTAATATAATAATATAACAATTGATATAAATATTAACAAATCTTTAAAAATAAACTACATCATTACTTTTAGATTTTATGAAAATTGTTGCATTTTTTCATTAATTTTAAAATATAACCACCAAAGAAGAATTCCTATTAAAAGGAAATTTAAACATATTGATTTTAAATTTGATATTGGATAAGTTTCAGTAATACCTTGTTTTTTTAAGTTAAGTTTCAAAAATTTAATTTCTTTTTTCAACATAACATTTTCAGAAAGCAGCATAAACTTACATTTTATTTCTTGGGAATTTTCCTAAATATAAAAAAAAAAATTCATAGGAACTCAATATTAATATTTAATCTTTTATAATTTTTAGATTTTGTTCACTAAATCATTATTCTAAAAAAACTTTATTTAAAAACTATTTTTTATTATTATGAATAAGGAATTAAAATTATTTGAGATAAATCTAAAAGTAATTAAAAATATAGACCATATTGAAGAAAAATAAAATATTTATGTGACTATAAAAAGTTCAACTCGGTCATAAATTATTAAATGAATGATATAGGACCTGCTCTTTATGTATGTCAAAAAACAGATATTAAAAATGATTATTACCTCTTTGAGATCTAATATTTGAGAAACAAAACCTCTTTGTTTCTTTTCAAAATCACTTATTATTCTATTATATGTATCAATAACATCATCTATCTTATTATTTAAGGCATTCATTTTAGATTTATATTTTTCGTTAGCATCCAATAAAGATTGAATCGTTTTTACCAATTCTTTAGATGAGCTGATTTGTGCATGGGTAATTTCTTTTTTGTAATAATTTTCTAATTTATCTATATACTGGCAGTGCTCTTTATTGAGGCGATAGAATTCTTTTTGATATGCCTCATGCACAGATTTTATTTCATTGTTATTATCATCATCTACTTTAAAAATTCTAAATAACATACATTTAACTATAACTAGAGTTTATTGAAAAAATTATTTTAAATAAAAATTAAATAAACTTATAAAATATACATTACTTCACAGCAGATGTCATTATACAAATGTTTAAGTTCGTTACATATAATTTTAATACAATTTTTAATTTTAGTTTTATATTTTTGTAAAATTATACATAGTTTATAAATAATTGTAAGATAGCAACTAATGTTAAAACCCAAGTTGATGTAATCACCATAACATTTCTTTATTATCATTCATCAATAAATATTATTTTATTGATGTAGTTAATGAACTTAATAGTTTATCCGTCTATTAAAATCTAGTATTATAATTAAGTTTACGAGAATCGAAATGAATATTTTATGAAGTATAGATTATTTGACACCTTCACTTAGAATTAAAACAATTGAATATAATTTAATGGCTTTAGTATCAATGTTGCTGTTCTATGTATAAATTATATTATGTGTAAAGTATTAAGTGTTAACAATATAGGTAATCATGAATGAAGAAATAATAACATTTTATTTCAATTACCGGTCAACTTCTAAATTCTTATCAAGATTTAGTCAGAGAGTTAGTTGCGGGACTTATATTCAAAGAGATTCTATATTTACCAATTTTGGTTAGTTGTTATTGGCAACCATGTTTTTATTTGTAGCGTTACCATCTAATGTAAACATGGCCGACGTCGTACCTAGTTCATAACACGATTGGAACTAACTTTTGATCAACTAAATTGTTTTAAAACACTGAAGTCCAAACCAATGTTATATAAAAATGTAAAATAATGTTTATTTAATTATTTACAATTTTTATTTAGTGTTCATATTTTAATATTATAAAGTAATATTTAATTATTTATTAAATTTTCATTTTTAAAGACACTACACTGATCAGACTGAAAGGCATTAGCATCAGACTCGGAGTGTTAATGTAAGTCTACTCAATTAATAATGTACTATTTTTTAAAATTTTTATTTTGGGTTTAGTTAGAACAAGTATTTTGGTTTTAAAACCTTTATGGTTTTTGAATATTTTCAAATTGGCGCTTACAATTGGTTTGTACAATGACCTGGTTTGGTTGGACATGATCTTTGGTTGTGTTTATAAGCAAGGTTGAATACATCTTGTAACCATTCTGAGCAACTGTGGTAGTACAGTAATTTCGATTCTGGATACCATTAAAATTTGTGTAATTTTACGAGAAAGTTAATGAGAATAGAAGTAAATAATTATTATTTCATATCTATGATAAATTCTTTATAGGGCAAATTGTTATATTGTGTATTATTCAATGGACAGTAAAAAATTATATTCCATTGTTATAATTTAGTTTTCATATTTTTGATTTATTAAGTAGCAAATTAATAAGATTAATTATTTTGGACATAAAACAAATACATAATGATTTTTGCATTCATTTAAAAAAATATAACTCTTAAATTATCTATGTGTTGAACAACGATAATAACAGTAGTTCCTGATATTATGTCTACTAGTCTGTCCAAGCATTTATTTTACTTTTAGAAAAAGATCCAACTAGTTTGAATTAAAATATATAGCAGGCTCTAAATTTTCACAATATTAAATATTGATTATTTACAAACACCATAGGTATCCCATTTTTGTAAGTTCAATCTTATTTGTATCTCGTCTGAATAAAAAGTTTCATACTAAGTAATAGTCTAAATATATCAGGTATTCAAATTAATAAAGCAGATTTGTTTAACAACAAAAGAGTGTTTAATATAGTAATGTATCTGTGATAATATATATATTTTTTATACATTTATGTTAAAAAGTTTTTTTTATATGCAATAGTGAGATATCTTTAAATAATTATTAATTTGAACATTAGAATACATCCCAATGTTTGTAAATTAACACAAATAATCTTATATTGCAAAAAAATTGAATTTTAAAATAGAAAAAATATATGAAGTACAATTACTTAAATTAATATAACAATAAAAAAAAAAATTTACAATTGCCTCATGAAATTTAAAATTATTTTTAAAAAACAAGAAGGATAAATTAAAATTAATATGTTATGAGAAACAAATGTAGTTAATTTTAATCATTTTTGAATTGATAATTTTGATTTGTATTTGTCACTAAGTTACAACTACTTATATTTATTAATGTATTATGGATATTCAATATTTAATAAGTAAAAACCGACCTTTTAATGTTTTAAGTGAACGTTTAAGGAAGGCTGTGACACCTTAATGAAATCGCCTATGCAATAAGTCTCTTTAATAAGAATTAATATTATTTTTAATTTAAAATAGTTTGTAAACCATCTACATGTATATAAATAAATTTTTTTTAAATATATAAAATATTTAAAAAGCAATTGGAAATGTAATTATTATATTATGATAAATAAAAAACAATACTTTATCTTGATAAATTAGAAAAACATACAAAGTTTTATTGTAATTATAATTATTTAAATATTTGTTTCAGGTAAAAAAAAACACACTAGTGGAAATATTAGATAATTTTGTTTTATCAGGATTTGATTAAGTTTATGACAAATAGTTGTTTTAAACAAACATAGATAGCACCACGTATAACATATTTGAGCCTGTATTGCCGTGAGTATTTTGTAGATATATATATATTTTTTTTTTTTCAAATAATGTGTACATTGCATTACACTAAAATTCTATCTTTTTTTTATTGGGTTATTCGAAATTAAAATTTCTCTACTTATATAATTGTGGTTATTTTATATGGAAAATAAATAGTAACTGTTAACACAATTAACCTTCCTGTTGTTACACCATCTTTATTTTAATAATACTCCATGTGAGTTTATTACTACTTCTACTCATTGTGGTTATTATTGTAAGAACCCCTTTTACCAACACTGTGTACTTAAAATTCAGTATATTCGTTATAAACATAGTAATAATAATAATCATCACATGTTCCTTGCTTAATGTTCTAGACGTTGAGTAAGGTCGTTACTAACGCTATGAACAGGGCTGTTACCCCATAACACCCTGTTACGTTTTTACCTGTTAATGTATATGTGTCTAACCCCTCGTCATGTCGTACAATAACCCCGTAGGGTCACATCGACGATCATTGTGGGTATCTTAGTTTTCATTTTGCTATAACTATTGTTATATTGCATGACGAATTAGTTCTTTAACGGTTCGTTCATACATTTGATTATGATGGTATTCTATTTTCTTGATCTTGTAATTTTAACAAATTCAGTTTCATTTTTTTAGATCCATAACAGTGAAAAATATCCTATAAATCTGTTTTCCTACTAGTATTTTAGAATTGGTAGAATATAAATTTTGACAATTTTCGCGGCCAGCATACTTGAAAAAGCCTACATTCTAAAACAATAATAAATAAAAATATTTTAACTATTACTATAGTTACGATTTTAAGAAAAATAAATATAACCATAAAATTAGTATGGCAATAGTATAATCAGAATGATTAAAAATAAAAATATATTTCAATAAATATTTTAAATATTAAATATCTTTATAATGTTTCGCAGTTTAGACTGAGTGCGGATTTAGTTTTAGTTGATACCGCACAAAATTTCAAACTGAAATCAATAACTGTTTTTAATCATAGGAGGCCAGGACCTAATAATGTTATTAAAAATAAAAAAATTAGAATGTAATGAAATTAAAATTGATAACGTCTAGTTTTCTTAGAAAGACCATTTTAGTGAATCCAATAAATTTATTTTTGATAACGATAAATTATGAAAATTCAATGAGATGATCAATGAACAATGTTTATAAACAAATTGTTAATTATTGAGTGTTAGCATTTGTGTATTCACGGGGGTGGGGTTTATGGGGGTCTGAACCCTCCATGGACATAAAATCATAGAGAAGGTATAAAACTAATCTATGTTTTGCTTTTGGAACCTATACAAAATTTCTAAATACGCTTCTGACTATTTGTGCTGGAGAGTCTTAACTTTTTAATTAGTATTAATATACAGAATATTCAGTAATTAAAGAAATAGGTAATTTTTATAAACAGTGAGAATAGTAGAAACACGATTCCTTACTGAACACTATATATATTATAAGTATTATGTTATGACTATTGATTTTCTCTTGCAATAATATCTAATTAAATAAAAATAAACCTATAAATTTTAACAATTAAACGTTAATTAGATTCATATTTGTATGTTATCTTACGTATTTCCCCAAAAACCTGTTTCTACTTGATAATATTTAAGGATGGATAAAAAAAATTGTATCTTTCTATATATTAGCATAAATTTACGAAATATTCATTTTTAATTTTTTATATTAAAATGAATAAACTGATGTTTTAAATTAATTCTAACTAAAATTATGCTATAATAAAATTTAAGAAAAATAGTTATTTGATTTTAGAAAATATTTTTAGGTATTTTACCACACGAAATTATTTTTGCCCGTGACAACATAAATTTGAAAACTAATGTTTATAAAATAAATTCTTCAACTCAGTTAGATTGTTGCCCAGTAATTAAAAATATAAAGTACTGGATTACATTTATGTTGTATAGTAGTTAACAATACGAATATTTGTTTGATAAAATTTTTTTTTGCTTTCAACATATGCATAAGATTTGTAGTATTAAATTTAGTTTTATGAAATAGTATTTGTCATGTCAGTAAAATCCAGATTTCAACCATTTATAAATTTCAACATTTATAAAAATAATAATTGCAATTATCATTATTACTCGTATTATGTATTTTATCATAAATAAATTACTGGAGATGTAAATGCATAAAACAAGGAAAACTTTTATAATGGTTTCATTTTTATAAAATCAAATTTATCGTTGTAGTAAAATTAAATGGTTGACTTCAAAAAAATGTATTCATTTTTTTACCATCGTAAAATGTATTAAAATCTTTTAGTAGCCATAACTGTTTTTACTATTAAAAAAGTTGTTTACTTAGCTTGGGTTCATACCAAGTTTTTTAACCCACTCTTGAATTTATAGTTTTATAAATATATGTAAAGTTTAGTGATAAATTGTAAGATTTTTAATCTATAGCTTCCCCTTATAAGTGGTCTTAGCCTGGCCAACTATCAAAAGGTCCGAGGTAACCACTCCAACCTATTGTAGGATTTGCAATGTACAGTGTATTATATAAATTGTTAAAGTGTATTTATATTAAAGAAAATATGTATTGACTATAATTGTTTAATCCATGTATATAATAAATCAATATATTTTATTGCCAATTAGCTCCAAATATTTAAATATTTAAGTAAAATATTAGTTAGGCTTTTAAAACTTTAGTTAAATAAAAAAATTTATCAATTTTTATTTAAAAATTGTTGGTGACATTTTGTGATGTTTAATGTACAGTGCTACAACCTGTTGGGAGGCACTCCTTCCCTAAATTATTTGCAATGTTTAAAACTTCAGTATTATGACTTTATTTTATCAATCAAGTATTCTTAAAGAGTGATTCAGAGTAAAAATTTTGAATAAGCAAAAATAAAAGGTGATATTCCTCTTATACACGAAATTATTTTTTAGTTGCGTTACTGATAATGACAATGATAATTAATTTTTTTTTGTTTTCATTGATGAGGTATACATTTACACAATCGAGATTTTTCATGTGTTTTTAGAGTCTATTGATTAATTCCCAATAAATGTGTTATTTATACATTTCCATCATTTTTTAATGGTTCTCAACAATTCTCTTATTTTGTCACAACCTTATAACATTTTACGTTTCATCTGTTTAGGTAATTTACAAAAAAAATATTACTCTATACATACTTTTGTTAGTTTTGTAAAAAAATCAACCTTTCAACGCAAGTTCTTGGTTGTTGATAATTGTGTTATAAAAAATTATATTTTTTATTCTTTTTGATATAAATTTAATATACAGTCACATTGGCGATTTTGTTAAAGATTTTATCTATTCTTTTACTTGCATGATAAATCATTATGTTAATATTATTATTATTTTTAGAGTTTTTTTTTGATACATGGCTTTATTTTTATATGTTATTTTTATGTTTGATCTAAAACGTTGTTATATATCCCATTAATGTTACTTGTATGTACATTGAACAGGTTTCAATTAATTTTCCCTGTCCATATTTATAAATTTATTTTAAATATTTGCAACGTGATGAATCACGTTTATTCAACAAAATCAGCACCGATTTGATAATTATCAATTTGAAAGTATTCAATAGTAGCTAGTTAATTTAATTTAAATTTGTTGTTGGGATAAATAATCTATAAGTCAAAAATTCATCTTGTCCTTCGGTTGAATAAATAAAATCGTGGCTTCTAATTTTCAGATTAATAATTATTTTTCTTTAATTTGTTGAATAAATATTTACCATTTAAATCTTGTTTGTGTACACATAATTAAAATAGTTTGTCCTAAGAATATGATCTATTAAAATTGTTATGAATGTGTTAAAGTTTTCATGGATTGTCTTGTTGCTTGAAGTGCTTAATGATTTATCCATGTTTAGTATAGTATAGCAGCCACCGACTAGCAACCATCACTCTGAAGATGGACTCTGCAATGAGTCCGAAACGTCAGAACTGAACTACAAACATGGATAAATTATTAAAATTGATTAGATAATTTTTATGTTTTGATAGAAATACATCTACTTATGTTTTTTTATACATCATATTTGGGTACCATGGCTAGTAAATAGCACATAGAATATGAACATAAATTGACTGCGTTGTTTGTTTTGATGTAATTGTTATTTTGCATGAATGAATTTCAATTTCGGATTGCTGTGGGCTATTTTCGGAGAANGATAGAAATACATCTACTTATGTTTTTTTATACATCATATTTGGGTACCATGGCTAGTAAATAGCATATAGAATATGAACATAAATCGACTGCGTTGTTTGTTTTGATGTAATTGTTATTTTGCATGAATGAATTTCAATTTCGGATTGCTGTGGGCTATTTTCGGAGAAAAAATGATCGCATTAATGTACTATTGGAAGGAGTTAGCATGAGGTCTGATAAAATCAAGGGGTGGTAAGGTGGTTTTAGCATCTTCTCATACTGTTTTAAATATTATAGACTTATACAGTGTATTCCAATGTATTTGTGTAAAGGAATGTCAAGGATATATGTGTACCATCTTTGTCCCCAGTACCGGTGGTAGTGGCGGCATTTATGACTAATCCACTGCAAGTTCTCGCGTACGGATGTTTAGGTTACTTCATCATTTTGCCAATAATAATATACCTTTGTCTTTGTGCCACAGACCAATCTTTCGTCTAAGCTGAGTCCAATATGAATAAAGAACTTAAATACTATTTACTATTTATAGCATCGATTTACAGTAGCTTATTTATGTGTTAAATATAATATGCATGAGTAGAACAAGTATAAGTGATTGCCGTCATAATACTACCTGTGCATGATTATTGCAAACTTATTTAAAATATGAATAATTGTTCTTCGTACAATGTGTTTGTTGTTATGTAGTAGGGAAATGTGAGGCAAAACGGGGATATTTCAAAATCTCTGACTTTAATGATCTTATCGTTTTAAAAACGAGTTCTAGAGTATTTTAGTTCATTTAAAAACAATCA